TTTTATTTCCCCTTTTTTCTTCCTCCAGTTGCTTTTTTTTTTTTTTTTGCCATTTTTTTTACCTTTACGTTCGCTGGTGAACCTAACACCAAGCAACTGGGTTCACCCGCGCGAACCCAACACCACCTGGGTTTGCCCTTGGGAACCCATCACCTGGGTTTGCCCTTGGGAACCCATCACCTGGGTTCGTGGTGAACCCAACACCTAGGTCTTTGGTTTTTTTTTTTTTTTTTTTTTGGTAATAATCCTGCGTATCTGGTCAGATGAGGAAGAAGATGGTTAAGAAGATGGGAAGAAACACATAAACCCAGTGTTTTGAAACCCGGATCGGTGATTGAATCGGTTTATTCATCAGTTCTCAATTTGGTCGGTTCAACCAGTTCAACCTACCGGTAGACCGTGTCAATAAAAAATTGCTAGAATGTGCAATCGTGGGTCTTTCCGGTAAAATTTTGCTGTTGTTTTTAGACTTTTTCCTTGCAATTTGTCCCAACTACAAGTTCAAAAACTCAATAACTAGAAAAAAAAAGTGTCATACAATTACAAACCTTAAAATTAATAAATCCAAAAACTCAATAAATAGATAAAAAAAAGTGTCATACAATTACAAATCTTAAAATTAATAAATCTCACACCGATCTGTTGCCTGCTGCTATTGCTGCTTGCTGTTGCCTGCCTATTGCTGCTACTTGTTGTTGCCTGCCTACTGGGTACCGATCTACTGCTACCTACTAGATACCAATCTGCTGCTCAATTTGGAGAGACGATGAACACTGATCTGTTGCCTGCTGTTACTGATGCTTGCTGCTGCGTGCTAGGTACCTATCTGCTGTTGCGTGCTGGGTACCGATCTGCTGCTACGTGCTGGATACCGATTTGCTGCCCGATCTATTGCCTTGTGGTTTTTTCTTTGCCAAAAAAATGATGGAGATTGAAGAATGGAGATTGGAGAGCGGAGAAGCCGAGAAGGAAAATCAATGGATGATGACGATTGGAAAATGGATTTTCCAACTTTGTTTTGTGGAGAATGAAAGCGTCAATGAAATTATGAAACCCAGACGGTGGGAAAGAGAAAAAGAAAAAGTTGCAGAGTGCATGCGTCCAACTTGAATCAATTCACCTGGTGGGTTTACCGAGTTTACCAGGCTAGATGGTTTGAACGACTTTCTCAGGTTTGGACAGTTGGGCCATCCAAATAGACTTGGGTTTCAGCCCAGCCCGTTTTTGCCACCGGGTGGCTGTTGGACCGATCAGACCAACCGATCCGGTTCAGGTTTCAAAACACAGCATCAACTTGGGTTGCACGAGAAAGGAACGGTGGGATGTTATAACTAGAACCTATATATAGTGGTTTTTTTTGTAAATAGAAGCAAATGTGAGGATAAAATAGGAAGAGTGAGTAAAATTCATTAAACCAAAAAGTAGAAATTGTCGCATAAGCACAAAATTCGTGCTTCTCAAAATTGCATTAAAATGGGAAAAGATGAGCTTTTCAAAAGGACTTGTGTTTTTCACAAGCATTAGTGTTTGGTGCAGTTGGAGCTTTTAGGCCTGAAAAGGCCTTCCCACTAACTACACTAAACACACCCTAA